GAGGAAAAAAGAGAGAGGGAGGGAAGTAGGAGGAAGAGAAAGCTCAAGTTAGACTTTTCCTCCCTTCATCCTTGCTGAAATTCTAAAATAAAGTTCACTAGGGTGTTAGCCAATGTTTACATGGAGATTAATCCACATAAAAATGCAGAATTTCAATATCATGTTTTGTACTATTTCTTCGAGTAAATTGGTAGACTGTCTGACTTTGCTAAGCAAACAAGGGAAAATTCTCAGACAGATCTAACATTTGGAACACATGTTTTGGGACCCCATTCACTAGAGATAACTCCTGGAGACAGGATTCCTTTTGTGGATACCCTCTTGGGGGCTCTTACAATAATCTATCATATCAGGTCCCTATGCCAAACTGTGGCAGTACTCCAACAATTGATGTTCATGTTTTTAAGTTGCATGTTTAAGGAAGAACCAGCCCTTCCACCAGTGTGATTAGAGGCCAGGGATCAAAAAAAAAAAAGTGATAATGGCAGGATGTTGTCTTCAGCCCTATCCTTTCAGGTCAGCAATTGTATCTGGAGAAAGCCTCAACTCCTCCCCTTGTGTGATTCGGGGACTTGAGGTTATGGTTGTATAATATAGCATGGGAAAAGCAAGATTTGGGAACATTATCAATCATGGCTGGAGAATTACTAGGCCCTCCCATGTTAAGAAAGTGTGTGCTTATGGGATGGGCAGGGAGAGGAGAGACTGGTGCTGAGAAAAGGCATGTACTTTGTCATTATTATTGTCTGGAAAGAGAAATCTATACTAATGGCACACTTGTGGCTTTCTTCCTAACTCCTCCTGTTTTTTTTTGCATGTTCTTTTTATTCTGACTATAAATTTTGGCATTTTAAATATCATTTATAGTTCAATGAATCCCACATATATATTTCTAGCCCAGACATTTCTTCTGAATTAAAACTTATGAGCTGATTTACTCATCCTTCTATTCAGGATTTTAACTATTGATACCCACCTTTATACCAGACATTATTTTCTGGATATAGGGATATAGCCAGAAACAGAATTTTAAAACGTAGCATTATTTGGATTTATTATTCCCATGCTTTAGTATTCAAATTTTTATTTTTCTCATCTTTTTATCATGTGTAGTGTTATTGTTTGTGTTTAGGTAATATCCTTATGCCTATTTTTCATTGTTTCTATGAAATAATTTTTGGGACACCTTGTTGATCATTTTTCTCATGTATGTTGACTCTCACTAGTAGTTCTTTGTTTTCTCGTGTGTTTTGTAATTTTGGATTTTGTTCTCATTTACCGTGCTGCCTACACAGAAGGATGCCATTCCAAAGCAGTTTTTTATATTATCTGTGGGACCTATATGTCATAAATATCTCAAAGGGCTGCCTCCAATATTTCTTGGCAAGGTGGGTTCAAAATTTCAAAATCAAATGCTTAATTTCCCTAAAATACAGGTCAGAATTTTTAATTTTTCTGATTTTTTAAAATCCAGATTTTAGATTAAAACTGAGAAGCTCTCTGGTTGTGTCATTATTGTGTGGGAAATATATTTATCTCATTTAGTCTTTCTGAAGGTGTAGCCATCTGAGTGCCAAGAACTCCACTTCCAAAACCTTATGGTCATTAAAACAAAAGACTCTCTAGAGTATTTGAACAGAGCCTCCCTCTCTTCTAGCCAACAGCTTCAGTGGCAACTTGAATGTTTAATAGCATCCTCTTTTACTTTGTGTATTTTATGATGATTTTTTATTAAACATTTAAGCCAAATAAAAAATAGAAAATAAGGCAAGATAGATCCAAAATACCATATACAGATTAAGCATAAAATATCAGTAGAGTTAGAGTTTTCAGTGAAAATTTCCCAATTCTATTTCTCTCCTACCCTACTCAAACACAAACTTGCCTCTGAAATTCATTTATAAATTTCATAGAGATGCTTATACTTTAACCACATATCTATGAGCCTAAAGATATACCTATTTTCCTATTATAGTAACATACAAAGTGTATATCTTTCTGCAATTTTTTCTAAAAAAGCTGAGATTAAATCATGTTGACATATGTAGCATTAGTCATTCAATTTTATTTTCTATATTGCATTTCATTGTATAAATATGCCAAAGTTTACCAATCTGTTTATAGACATGTAAGGGTATTACCACATTTTTATATTAAATGCAATGGCTGAAGAACATTTTTTAAAATGTCTCCATGTATACAAATGTTTCCTGACCCAGCATCAAGCTTTAAAAATAACTTGAAGGACATTAATAACTGAGAAATCCGAGCAAACAAATCATTGATATGTTGAAGGTAGGTAGGCCCTGGTTATTGTATGAGATCTCTACACCTGTTTGCAGTCTCTTCAACTCACAAAGATGAGAGCTGTATTAGTCATGAAACATCTCCATTTTAAATCCTAAAAGTTACATAGCCTAAGGAGCCATAACCCCCAAATTCATAGATTCCAAATTGGGTGTACATAAGACACACTAGACAAAGAAATAGCATTTCCTTTCTCATGAGCTAATATCATTAATGTGTTTACCAGAAAATCTTTCATTAAAATGTTTATGAAAAACTCCTTCATATGTTTGACGGTAGATCTCAGCGCTGCTGATTACAATTCTCTTCCTATCATGCCCAAGTGAACATGGTTTCTGGGGCTCCTCTTATTGTCTACCAATCAGTTAATTCCTATACTAAAATTACATTATATTTGTAAGAACACTAGAAAGTGCAGCATTGCACTTAGGAATGCAAGCTGGACCCTAGTCTGTTTGGCTCAGTGGATAGAGCATCAGCCTGATGACCAAAGGTCCTGGGTTTGATTCGGGTCAAGGACACAGACCTTGGTTGCAGGTTCCTCCCCAGACTGGGCCCTGGTCAGGGCTCCTGCAGGAGGCAACCAATCGATGTGTTTCTCTCACATCAATATTTCTCTCTGTCTTTCCCTCTCTCTTCCACTCTCTCTAAAAATCAATGGAAAAATATACTCGGATGAAGATTTAAAAATAAAAGAAAAAGAATGCAAGCTGGACTGATTATAGGCATTCCTGGTTCTGCTATTTAATGTATAATTTGGGTACCATCATACTTTGCCTTTGATTTTACATCTCTTTGGGTTACTTATAATATAAATGAATTAATGCATACAACTTATAACAATGCCTTGAATTTAGTAACCCCTCAATAATTTTAGTTATTCCTATTATTATATAGTTTTATAATAGTAAAAACTAGTATAAAACATTGTTAACTGCCCCCCGCCTCCCGCCCCAGACACACACACAAATATTTTTTACACACTTTCTTATTCTTCCTCAAAATTATATTGGCTATTTTTAGATTATCTGTATGTATTGTAGAATCACTTTTCAGGAATTTTGAGTGTGATTATAATCAGTTTATATCTTATGTAACTTATCTTTGTATGCTTTATTAAAGTATATTTCTAAATTAATTAAGGTCTTTCATGATTTTTGATGAATTTTCATAATTTTCTCCATAAAAGACTTGTACATCCTCTTTGAGTTATTGTAGTAAGTATCATGTATTATTATTGGCTAGTATGACTAAATGTATTGGTTTTTAAAAAAATGTATTTTTTTCTAAATTTATTTCTTGTACATAGTAATGAAATTTATTTTGTATATTGCTATTGTATCCACTGATTTTACTGAACTCTCATTATTCTAAATTATCTATTTTCTTTTATTTTTCTATGGAGAAAATATTATGTATGGACAATGATAATTTTCCCATGGTTTCTAATTATTTCACATTTTATACATTTCCCTTGTTTCGCTGAGTTATCTAGCATACTGCTAACTCATAAGCCTGTATGGACCTGTATCTGTTCTGTCCATAACCATAAATCTGGTACCAAAGACAGTACTGGACATACATTAAGCACTTGGTAACAAATTTGGTGAACAATATAAAAATGTGAAGGATGATGTTGGAAACCGGATAAACGTGTAAATGCACTTACAAATAGGCTTCCTTCCCCTTGCATATCATCAAACTGCATTTCAAAGAAGAGAAGTATCATAAAAAATGCCTAGTACAAAGTCTCTAAAAATCAGTTTTAAAACTTATTACGTATTTACTCATTTAATATCCTCTTCCTCACAAGGGCCATTGTTACAATCCTGACATGAACATAAACTTTGCTATCAGATTGTTATGCTATCATTTAATCTCTTTTTCATTATATCTTAGGGCTGTTAAATAAGGGGAACATGCTATTAATCAAATATTTATCTATATAAGATGTGCATATGTGATCCATAGTTTGAGATAACTCATTTTTTATAATCATCTAGGAAGTATAGCTATTTAAGTGATACATATCCCAGTTTCCCCAATTTTGCTTTCTAATCTCCTGTCAAAAATGTAAGAAAAAAATAGAGTTTAAAATTTGGTGTTTGGTTGGTGAAATCCCAGATACACTGGAATAATAATAATACTCAATTTTAAACTCCATTTAATCTCTTTTTAAATTCTGTATTCTACCTTGATGGGTTATATGTATCACTCTCAGCTTAAATGTCAGTATCTGTATAATGGTTTGTTTGTGTTGTTTTGTTTGTTTGTTTGTTTGTGTTTTGATACTACTTGTCCTTTATTTACCTTCCTCTCCTCCCAACCTGCCACCCCTGCCACACCAACCTCTGTAACCCAGCAAACATGCAGAGCAAACTACGGGAACACCGGTTCTTTCCAATGGTTCTTTAAAAATAGCTACCCCACATATTTGTGATAAGAAGTAAATGGAGTGAAAATGAAAATTATACAAAACCTTACTTAGCATATTACAGGCTCAAAACAGCCAGCTCTCTTCACTTATTATTTCCAACCAGTGTATACGTATGTTGGAGTCATAGTTAAGCATAATCTAAAATGCATTCATTCAGTCCTTATATAGTTTGAACATGTGCAAGTCCTGTGAGGCTGCTGTGTTTGCATTCCAGATATCAGTTGTCTAAAGGCATAAAAATTCTGTGTAACAGTCTGCTCCGCACTCGGAACCGCCACCATGGCTGCCTACAAGCTGGTGCTGATCCGGCATGGCGAGAGCGCGTGGAACCTGGAGAACCGCTTCAGCGGCTGGTACGACGCGGACCTGAGCCCGGCTGGGCACGAGGAGGCGAAGCGCGGCGGGAAGGCGCTGCGAGGTGCCGGCTATGAGTTTGACATCTGCTTCACCTCAGTGCAGAAGAGAGCAATTCGGACGCTCTGGACTGTGCTGGATGCCATTGACCAGATGTGGCTGCCTGTAGTGAGGACCTGGCGTCTCAATGAGTGGCACTATGGGGGTCTGACTGGTCTTAACAAAGCAGAAACTGCTGCTAAGCATGGCGAGGCCCAGGTAAAGATCTGGAGGCGCTCTTACGATATCCCACCACCACCGATGGAGCCCGACCATCCCTTCTACAGCAACATCAGTAAGGTATGTACAAACTGAGGTTTGGGTCACTCAACCTAGGACCAGGGGATTAGAATCTGGGCCACTCTTTTTTGGGGGGAGGGAGGGTTATTTCTCATCTGAGGATATTTTCCAGTGATTTTGAGAGAGTGGAAGGGAGAGCAATAGCAATGTGAAAGAGACACATCGATTGGTTGCCTCCCGCACGCTGGGTAGAACCCTCGACTCTTGGTGGGCTGACACTCTAACCACCCAGCTCCACTGGCCAGGGCATCTGGGCCTCACTCTAGCTTTTATTAGTGTGGTGTAGTCCTATTGAGTTTGTAATTTATGATAAAACACTTCATAAATTATATGTAATCCCCTTTCTCCAAGGAATGGCCTTCACTTGTTAAAAGACTTAGTTGATTGTTTATGTAAAAACAATTTATACCTTTTTTTATATCTCCACTGCCATAGTTTGTAAAACCTATCTATAGGTGTAGGTCCTTCCTAAGCCAATTGTAAGATAAAATGAATTGGGAAGAGCCTTTTTCTCCTTTTCTGTATTTTCTTTGAACTGTTAGGTTTCCTAGTAGTGGGTGATGGGGAGAAAGGGGCAGGATAATAATTGTCTCTTTCGCAGGCTCTCAGCTGTATTTTGTGCTCTGGTTTTACTGGGAGGAGGGGAGTTATGGGGGGGAAAAAAAGAGGAACAAATGTAACCTGAACAATAAAGATTTAATTAAAAAAAAAAAAAGTGATACATATCCCAGTTTCCCCAATTTTGCTTTCTATTCTCCTGTCAAAAATGTAAGAAAAAATAGAGTTTAAAATCTGGTGTTTGGTTGGTAAAATCCCAGATATACTGGAATAATAATGCTCAATTTTAAACTCCATTTAATCTCTTTAAATTCTTTATTCTACCTTCATGGGTTATATGTATCACTCCCAGCTTAAATTTCATTATCTATATAATGGTTTGTTTGTGTTTTTTTGTTTGTTTGTTTGTGTTTTGATACTACTTGTCCTTTATTTACCTTCCTCTCCTCCCAACCTGCCACCCCTGCCACACCAACCTCTGTAACCCAGCAAACATGCAGAGCAAACTACGGGAACACCGGTTCTTTTCAATGGTGCTTTAAAAATAGCTACCCCACATATTTGTGATAAGAAGTAAAAGGAATGAAAATGAAAATTATCTTAGCATATTACAGGCTCAAAGCAGCCAGCTCTCTTCACTTATTATTTCCAACCAGTGTATACATATGTTGGAGTCATAGTTAAGCATAATCTAAAATGCATTCATTCAGTCCTTATTAAGTTTGAACATGTGCAAGTCCTGTGAGGCTATTGTGTTTGCATTCCAGCTATCAGTTGTCTAAAGGCATAAAAATTCTGTGTAATAAAATATGTTGGTATCCATTGGCTCAAAAGAATAAACATTTTTTTGTCTTACAAAATTGTAGTTTAATAATTTAGATGGACGATCCTTCTGGTCTTGGCAGGGCTCACTCACATGACTGGGGTACACTGACTACTAGTTGGGAGCTGATCTGGATGCAGGCTTCCCCTAGAGCAGTCATTTGGCTCTGCTTTCACATCCTTACTACAGGCTACATGGGCATGTTTTTATGGAGGTGGCCCTCAAAATGCTCTCTTGGTTACCACTCCATTTGTCAAAGTAAGGCACATGGCCAAGGCCAGAGTCAGTGTGGGAGGGCATTATTGAGGGTTCAACATAGGAAGGTGTGAACAATTGTGGCTATTAATGCCATTTGTATACCACAATTCGGATTAAAAAATAAGGTTTTTTCTCTGTCTTTTAGGACTTCAAATATCTTTAATATATATGACACTTTTGTAGACTAAAAAACAAAGGGATATAAAGAATATATAAAGAAAGGAGTGATCACTCTACCCAGAAATAGTGAAGAAAACCTTTAAACAGAAATTGAGCTAGACATGGAAACTATAAGAAGGGTGCAAAGCTCTTAAAAGAGGAAAATAATCAATGAGCAAAAGCCTGAAGCAAGATATGGTATTCAGAGCAAAGATTGGAAAGTCAGGGAAAACCAGGCTTGTGTTGGAGTATGTAAAAAGTTTGGCTTCAGAATGCTTTGAAATATGGCACCTATTAATAAAGTGTACTGACATGTCGAAATATGCCTAGATGTTATATTTTTAGAGTACATACA